GTAATTGTGATTATTCACTTGGATTTAAAATTATGTCTCAATCAACTCCTATAGCATTCAAATATTGATTAAGCATCCTAGCTTTATTTTCTTACCGCTAAAAGAAATGATTGCATAGGTTCTTTTCTTGCAATTTCCCCATATGTAGCATAATTATGACTTATTTTACCTAAGAAAGTATGACATGAAGACATCGTTTTCCTTCAGAATGTAAGTCTACTTAGAATTCTATAAATAAACTCAATTTGATCCATTGATATTATCTCATGACTTTTATATTTGTACATTCATCCGTTTTTGCAACCAACTTTTAATTTACACTATACGTTCTTTTCTCCAGAGTATATTTGCATTGATAATTATACTTATTTCTGTACACCAATACATTTACGGACTGTTGTTTAACATGCTTATAAATGCATATGCAGTTATTCTATAAAAAGTATTTTAGACAATTGCAAAATGTCTATCGAATTTAACACAACACTCAGAGTTCCTTAGCTACATGTTGCACATTATCAGTAAGGGCAATAAATAATTTTATCAGATTTCTTGCTAAATAGGTATCAACAGAAAAATTTCAACTTCTTTTTTTGCAACTGTATACGTTTTAAAATAATGCATTATATTATTTTTTCATTTTGATGGCAAATTAGAGATATTTCACAATAATTACTTTCTATACTACATTGTTAAGTTAGAGGAAGTCGTATGTTTTATCTGATTTTCCTTCCTTTGTGATTCCTGATTATTACGTATTGGTTGTTTGTGAATTTTACCAGGAAATTTCATTTTATTCATTTTTCATATATATTTCAAATCTTCAATAAGCAGTGTTTTAGCCGAATTTTTAAGTTATATGTATATAATTATTACGGTCATTAAAAATAAATACAGTATATTATATAAAAAGAAATAATGTCTGGTTCACGGCGAAAATTTTAGCAGAAATTCGAAAAATGTTAGAGTTAGTAAAATGAAAGTCAGTTAACGAAATTTTAATTAATTTTGCGCATTGATGTTCTCTTCATAAAAATTAGATCAAGCTTAAAAATTTATAAAAAAACTAATAGTTATGAAACGCACTTACATATAATATTTAAAGGATATATTAAAAAGTATACATATTTCTAAAAAAATTTAAAACATAAAAAAGAATTTAATGTTTCTAAAACGTATTTACATATTATACTTAAAAAGCACATTAAAAAATATGCATAAATCTGAACGTTTCTTCAAATTATTCCAACCGCAGAACCAAAATATTATATGCCTAAATATATATGGACCAAAATGTTACATATCATCAAACTTCTAAATGTAAAAATTAAGCACAATCTACAGTCTGTCATAGACCTATAGTTCTGGTTTCAGAAATGAATAAAAAAGTAGGCTTTCATCAACTATGATTTTATTTATGTGACACTTTTAAGTAAGCAAATTTGAAATTTTAATTTGCATATGTGCTCTTTATCAAGAAAATTCCAATCAATGAGCTGTTCGTTATATTACTAAAAACGATTTAGAAAATATTCTTGGTCATAATATGCAAAATGAATTCTTAAAGAATTATTAAAATTATGACTTGAAAAATATTTATTCCATAAGCGATTAAGGTGTTCCATAAAAATGTAATTTCATTAAAGGAAATAAAATTTAAGCATTTCTGTAAACTATAAATATGCAAAACATATGTTTTAGAAATTCGCTTTCGAAAAGTTAGTGCACATAACTATAATTTGCAAATTTTGTATACGGCCCCCTAAAATATTCATATATTTTTTTCTCATTTGTGAATATAAATGCTTTTGTACGTTTTCTCAAGAAATCTAGTATTTTTCTAACAGTTGTTTTCTCTACGGGGTCCATATTTGTTTTTACTAAAAACTGTCTTGTGACCTATTATCACAGTCCGATGGTCTACTTTGCTTGCATTATTTCTTAAATAGTTGCATACAACCAATCATTCAAGTCATATTTAACTGCGGAAATGTTTCGAACATCGTGTATATTATTAGTAAGTTTCATTAAAGAACGCGCAGGATTAACACTTCAGCAATTGTCACATCCTACTGAGTTGGTTTGAATGACACAAGCTTGAAATTATATCTTATTGGTTTTATAAACTATGATACAAGGTTACAATTACGACTTATTGGTTATAAACTGTAATACAAGCTTTTTTTATAATAACATGTCTTTATTTCAAGCAGTGTGATGAAATGGCATTTAATTAATTGAGATTGCATCTTACTGGATATAAACTATGAAACAATCGTGAGATTATAATTTATTGGTTATAGACTATCATAAAAGATTAAGATTGTATCTTATTGGTTATAAATTATGACACAAACGTTAGATTATATCTTATTGCCTATAAGCTATGACACAAGCTGAAGGTTTATATATTGTTATAAACTATATATGAGCTTATAAAGTTACTATAACACTATATTTAAAAAAGATGGCTTCGTACTACATTATACATGAGGAAAGCTACGAAATTCCCGACAAAACCAGCCTATTAAAAACTACCAGTATCATGCGGTGCCAGAATCCAGAAATGTTCTCAGCAATTTTTAAATTACAGCAAGAATTTTAAAGAACACTGAACCTGTTTTTGAAAACCCAAGCGTGAAAAAAATTTCGAAATAATTATTTTATTTTTACTTAATTCCGTTATTCTAAATTTATTTCTCTAATGTATGAGATGTCAGTCACTGCAAATGATACTAGAAGCAATTCTCATCATACAACCTTTAACATAATGACCTGTAATAAAGAGACTCGACAGAACTTTCATAAATCTATCTTCCACTTCATACAACGACCATCAAATACAGCGTTTTTTTTCTGTCGATATTAAAGGATTTTGTTAACGCCAGTCGACCGTACTAACAATATATTTCAAACATTATTAAAACACACAAAAAAAATCAAATTTAGTGCTAATATGCCTCTGACTGATTCCAACAAAGATATTGACATAAAAATATCTCGGAGAATCATAAGAATGTAAATCCAGACAACACATTTCTGAAAAATAGTAAAATCGCTAGCAGAAGAATATGTAGTTATAAGGCAAAAACTCATATAAATCTAAATACAAAATATAATTCTCTTATTTCATAGCATTAAATTTAAAAGTGCTTTTCAAAACCATAATGAAATTCCTCGAAATATACTAAATAAAGTATCACAATGTGAGTACATTTAACATTTTTCATCTGTTTAGGAAAAGATAAACGAGTACATTTAACATTTTTCATCTGTTTAGGAAAAGATATACGTGTGTACGTAAGGACCTGGAATGTTTTTTTTTATTTTTTTTTATAATAACATGTCTTTATTTCAAGCAGTGTGATGAAATGGCATTTAATTAAAATTATTACAAATGCAATTATAAAATGTTTAAGTAATAGTGAATTAAATGAAACTGACTTCATTATTACTTGGGCATTTTATAATTGCGATTCTACTGAATTATCAATTCTAAGAATTATTTTATTTTGAAGGTCACATGATACCGAGTGAAATTTGAAAATTATAGTTAAATAGACACTTTTAAAAAGGCTTTTCTCTTCTATTTAAAATTATTCATTACATTTATTAAATAAAAATGTTATTAGTTGCATCTAGCTAAATGCTTAAGCCGGATTTATTAAAGTAGAACGTCAATACTCTTAATGCAAAATTTCAGAGCCTCTCCTTAATAAAGGCTGAGGAACAAAGGTTGTGAACACTGTGAATGCTTACTGAAAGAAGGTACGGGTAGAAGTGAGCGGTACGCTAGAAGTTCATTGATCGCACAAACAATACAGTTCCGCTGCATTAACTGTGCAGTTCTACTCCAATTTTAAGGCAGAACACCCCGGAGGGCGTGGTCTGAAGGTGTTCCACTCCTCTCCTCCTACTACCAACTCCTCGAGAGGAATATCGGCTCACCGTGTATTTTGAGTGCCCATTGCCGGGCTGATACTATAAGCATGCAGATATCCATTCCTTCGCCGAGTTTCGAAGCTGGTTCTATTGGTATGGCGGTCAGCGTTTCTAATCAGTGCAGGTTAAATGGTTCAGAGAGGTGCAGAGAACGATTCCAATGGACCTCAGTTATCCGTTTCCCGCCTTAGCCCCAGATATAAAATACATACTGGAAAACTCCGCAAACAGCGCCTTGTACCGCCTCAACGCCTCATTTCGGCACACATTCAATTGCAAAATCTGCTTATTTCCTTTCGTACTGCCTGCTTTTATATTTTTGACACACCCTGTAGAGGAATACGGAGGTACAAACCGGAACGATTATTATCATACGCTCAACTGCCAGAGCCTTCAAATGTATCTAATACACATAATTCAGTTTCAAAATTAGATGGTGTATAAATAATACAATTACATGACAACACATAAAAATATTATGCTGAAATTACTGTGTAAATTTTAACACCTGTGTTCAGGTATTAGGAATCTAATGTAATATTAGTACATACAATAAATAAATAAACAAATAAAACAAGTAAGTAAACAATAGTCCTTCAGGAACAAAGCCCCTTTGGACTAATAAAACTGCGCCATGTGAAGCGCAACTAGGCGTTGTAATAACTAATATTCACGGAACGTACTAATCTGTACAAAGAATCTGTCTCAGCTGACCAATTATCAACTAATACATTTTAACTACCAATGCAAAGTTTTCAATTTCAATCTTTTTTAATTTAATATGCAATAAAATTATATTTCTCGTTATTTCAATAAAGAAATGAATTTCAATATTTGGATCAATTTTTTTGCACAGCTAAGTTACAAATTTATATCAGCTTTCAGTTCAGCTAAAATTTGGATGACGAAGAAGGACATACCGCAAGTTCCCCCGCCCTCCACTAACTATTACTTTTTTAGTTAAAAAGAAAATATGCAATTCAGATTATTTAGTAAACGTTCATGTTTTTAAAAAAATGCCTATATCTTAGCACGAAAGAATAATTTACTTCAAATACCTGATGACACATATGCAAAGGCTAAAGACATCCAGAGAAAGATGACACAAAACTTTTCCGGCAACATCTGCGAGCGTCGGTCAAGCGGATAGCGTTCGAAAAAAACACAACTTTCTCCGGTGAAATTGACACCGGCTAGTAGCAGCACTATTAGAGGATAAATCTGAAAAGGGAAAACTTCTCTGCAATAAAAATGTAGGCCTTGTCTTGCTCTGTAATCGTGACGTCAGGGAGAGCAAGTTTTAGTTTCCGTTGTGCAATCTACGACTCTCGGAGATGTTATTTATCACACAGATTGACCACAACTGGCATCTTAGAAATTCTTATCTTTTAAACGTCACGGTTACGTCCTAAAGGCACTTTTTACTTTTTTTTTTTTTTTTTTTTCATTTTCTACTCAACCATTTATCTGATAAAGTTTTCACCTGGAAACATTTGTAAGTTAATTCAGCTTCAGCTTGTTTATAATAACTCACTTCTTTCAGTTATTAAAAGAATGGAATTAATGTTTTAAGTAGCTTGCTTTAATGAAAATAAAATATTATTTATAAGCATTAATTGAAAACTTACACTTCTGACTGGCTAAACGTCACTTCTGATTCCCTTTAAATTTCTCAATATGGAAACCGCAGACATTAAAAGTAATTAAGTGAGTAACTCAAAGTAACTACATGATAATTACTCAATAACAATAAAAGAGATTACATTCCTGAGCGCGCAGTATAGATGAAGTTATTAATCGTCAATGTGGGTGTCAAACCTGGTTGTTCTTGGAACCAAAATATATCAAAAGACCATGTAGAAAACATTTTCACCTTGAAATAGCTACATTTTTCCTGTATCTGCATAGTAATGGAAAAGAAAAGAAAAATTCGATCGAATTCGATGAAGTAAACATGTTTTTCTCTTTTAGCAAAAGCAGAAATGGTTAAGATAGATATACAAAAGCTAAATTAGCTATGCCTGTTTCATTTTAAGAATTTACTAAACCAATTGGTATCATAATTAAGATTATGAAACATTTAATGTAATGAATGGTTTCATATATTTGACTTTTTTATATGTTTGTTTGTTTGTTCCCTCCCCGGCCACTAAATGCATAGAAAAAAATTAAAATTAGGAAAAAAAATTTAAATAAATAAATAAATAAATATTTTTACAACAAATTAGAGTTTTTATTTTCTCATTTTAAAAGCTACTGCCAATGAAAAGATAATTTTTTAAATTTTAGTAAATTAAGATTACTAACTATACACAAATAATAGGTAACAAAACTATACACAAATAATAGGTAACAAAAATATAATTTTAAATTAAAGCTTTTGTTTAAATGTACATTTAAAATCAATGTGATAGCATGGGAGAAAAGAAATTGTTATTGTAATAAACAAAAAACAAAATATTATTTTAATTATTCGTATATTATCACTTAATTAATCTTTTTAAGGCAATTAATGTAGATATATTATACAAATTCTGGAAACTCCGCGAACAGAAACAACCTTCCTATTGGAAACATGTATTAATTCATAAAGTATCAGAATTATATTTTCAGTTGTACTAAAGCAATGTGAGAGAAATGCGAAAAATGTGAAGAAAATGAAGATTTAAGGTGTGTTAAAAAAATCAATGATGCATTACCTTCCAAATTGTTTTCTCCTATTTATACCTTGATGACGCATAGTCCCAGTCGAATATATACTTTCATTTGAGGGGAAAAGGACATGTACCCATTATACGTTCAGTTCCATTGTCTACAGTCAAAAGTCGTTAATTCGGACACCCATAATCCGGACCTCAAAGCTGCAAACTTTCTGCGCATGCGTCGCGCTGACGCATGCGCATAGGCGTTTACGCGAGCGCGTAAGACCTTTACGGCTGCGAATATGCGTGTGCGCATGCGGATAATACGTTTACGCATGCGCGTTTAATGTATAACGGATGGTATAAGCTAAGCTAAAATTATCTAATTCAGTTAATGTTGCATTGCGTTGTTCCTTAATCTTCGAATTGGATCCGGCTTATTATTTTTTGCAGACTGTTAGAGCAATTTTATAAAAGCAAGCTTGAACTTTCAATTATGTCAAATAGAATTTCTGATATATATTTACTTATATGTAAAGGATCTACAAAGCGAAAGTATGTTTGGAAATCCAAAATCTGTTTATCAATTTCACGCTGCTCTGCGGCGGGGGGGGGGGGAGGCAAACGCCGCGGCGCGCAATGAATTGGAAGTTGATCTGTCAGCACTATCCTTATTTTCAGGGCAGATGTTTTTATTTTATTAGGCTTATAATTCCTTACTAAATGTAGTATTTCATCTCGATGTACTCCGTCTTTGATATGATTTAAATCAAGTTCCTCGTCATTATAATTCGCTTCCGATAGTAAAGAAAGTGACACAGAGGTTATTGAAAACGAAAAAATTTCAATTGACAAATTAGTCGGTATTCTCGACACAGCAATTATAGGACTTGAACAGCGGAACTTTGTAACTAAACAAAGAAATTATGTCTGTTTAATAGAATTAAAGTAGAAGTATTATCACATGAAGCGAAGCAACTTAAACAACTTACATTGAAAGAAATGTTAATAAAGTAAACAAATAAATATTAAGATCTTTCTTTTTGTAAATTTTGATACCCTTTAGATCATCGGTCGATACCTTTAGATCAACCTTCTTTTGAGCTATGGGGACACTTGTGTCCAGGTGGGCTGAAGGGAGCCTCCAATTCTTACAATTCTTACCCTTTAGATCATAATTGTTCTTTATTTCACAAATTACGGTTTCATATTTTTAATTTTATAATTTCTGCATGCCATCTTACCAGATTTAAACTGATGATCTATAATCCAGAGAAATCGATAATCCGAAATCGCTGAAGTCCCGACGAATCCGGATTAACAACCTTTTTACTGTATTACTTTAGATTTTCAATTTTAGATTTTGGCATATTTCTCCAAACTTCACAGTAAATATCTAATGTATTCCTTACGTATCACTCTATTTTTTTATACTTCTGAGCGGCTTAAATTATAAAGGAAATATAGCATTTATTTTTCTTGGAATTGCTTTCCTTTTCCTCTTTAATTTTTATCATTTATTAGCACAATTTAATCAATTTGATCAGTTTTTCTCTGATGCAGAAAGAATTACTAAATTAAACACCACTATAACTGTTACTTAATCGTTGATTTAATAACTTAATCGTTGATTGCCTACAGCAACTTCATCCTCTCTTAAAAAATATTTAAAAAGAATTAATTTTACACTTTTTTCCGTTTTTTTTTTATATATTTGTAAAACTTACACAGCTTAAAATTAAATATTAATAAAACATTGCTGAGAATTTAAACCATAATATTACATTTTTTATTCATTTTTTTATTATTTTACTTTTGTATTTGTTTATATGTTAGTTATCTACCTATTGCATTAATTTATTTCAGGATTCGCTTCATAATATAAGCGTTGCGATCTTATCTAATTACACCAGATAGTGACATTCGAAATAAGCACCTATAATCGACCTCATATTACATTGCATGCGCAGTTTTATATGACATTTTTAAGTTTGAAGAATACGCTTTATGATATGCTACTAATATTTTCCCATTAGTTGTGATTCTTTTACATATATTAAAATTAACTACATTTTTCTTTGTTGAGAATGTAATCAAACTTAATTACATTTCAAAATTTCTTTATGAAATTTGAGTTGCATTCTCCTGATGCTGTATGCTATTGGAATCGTTCATTAAGACAAATGCCTTTGTAAAACATGAATATATTTATTTAAAGACGACAAGCACAAACACACACGCACACCAAAATGAACTTATTATCAATTAAATCGAAAACTGAACTGTACCATTGTTTTCGTATTGTCTATAACATTTCTAGACGATCAGTAACGTCAAGTTGTAAAAAGTCTGTCATAGAGCTTCAACGTCGATCTGTAGCAAGTTTATTTCTATTCAGTTCGCGATAATTTTAAAATTTCTTTAATTAGTTTTTTAGACTTGCATTTGAACAATACCTTTGTAGAGTAATTAGGGTGTTTTGGTTTAGCTTTAGCTTATTTGATTATGGCAAAGCTCTCGAGCGCTTTCTGTCTAAAGGGAGGGATGTCTTTTAGAGAACTTTCTAAGGGAAATTGGCTCGTATACACGTTACATACGAGAAAAACCACAAAACGCCTACTCAACCAGCCCGTTCGCGGGATTCAAACCTCGGACCGAACTACCAGAGTTCAGTGACTTTACCGTTCGGCCGCTGGTGAGCCCGAGTCATTAGGAAGGGAAAAGAAGGATTATCGCATGAACTGAAAAACGTGCAGTGCCCTCGTTTGGATTCGAGCGCCGGCGCTACTTTTACGGTCTTTTAGAATTTTTCAAAGTCAGGAGACTGAGGAAATCCGCAATTGCTCTCGCCGGGATTCGAACACCTGATCTTGCGACGTGCTTCCAATTACACCACGAAGGCATGCTAAAAGAAGGAAGAAAGTACCTTGTTCAATATAAGTTTTTATCTGTATTTTTAAAGCAACTATGCTTTTGTCTACACTTTTAATAAGTTTTAACTGTTTTACTGCTACTTAGTTATTATTTGATTAATTTTATTTATTTTAATCATATTTTAGTAGACTGACCCTATTTCTGTGATCTGAAAACGGAATATTGAATCGTACATACAAGGTGTGACACACACACACACACACACAAAAAAAAAAAAAAAAAAAAAAACACTAAGTGTGTAGCTTGAAAACAAAGTGGAGTTGGCAACAACTGTTTTGGTGATGTCATGCTACACACCTCCTCTATCCATGCGCCGAGTTTCGACTTAACCGACCACACCAGTGGGGGTATTGCGTCATTGAGCGAACACGTGCAACTGCATTCTGCCGGAAAAATATTTAATTTACATTAACATCGAATCAATTTATTAACATCGAATTTATTAACATTCGAATCAACATCATATTTCTTGTGAAACTTAAGAAATCAGACAAATGTTATGCGAGGCTTATAAAGATGAAATTTTGTCTCATGCACGTGTGTTTGAATGGCATAAGCGATTTTTAGGGGGAAGGGACGGTGTGGAAGATGATGAATGTGCTAGGCGCTCAGCACGTTCATCATGATTGAATAGGTTTCCAGTGGTTAGACTGTTAATCAACAGTACTACATTGAAGTACTAAAAGACTTCGTGAAAAAATTA